CTAACAAAAATGACCCACCAATCTAGACCTTCTTTTTGGGACCTGGTTTACAACCATTAACCGGTCGATTATGCCTTGAAGTTGACCAGCTACATAAATTGAGCAATTGATGAGACTGAGGACACACCTCCCTGCAAGAGCCTATAGACACAAGGCATCGATGACCTAGATTTTAAAAAAAATCATGGCTAGAAACCAGATGATCACACAAATGTCAAGTACAAGAAAACACGAGGGTAGGACAAATTAGGGTATGACAATGCACGCAGGGTTTTGTCTTGTCATGCAGCTCACTTTGTAGGCATGCAAGGTTTAGTCTTGTCATGCAGCTCACCTTGCAGATGTAATAATAAAAAACAAGATTTTATTGCTAATAATACAGTAGAGAGATCTGAATTATTATCATATCAATTAGGAAAACAATCCCTTCAAACACATGTTTACTAAAATATTAGCTATGTCTCAAACACCACAATACATGATTAGTGCACATCTAAATGTAACATAGCCAGTTACAATTTCAAAAATACTGATGTTACGAGATTTTTGATTGACATAAGGTCAAATTTTTTACACTTGAAGTCAAGATTAGAAAAGAAACTACAATGTGGTCCAGTTGGCCAAATAATCTACAAGAATCTGGTGTTCTTTGGCGGACACAATCAATGCAAAATTTTTCCCATTAAATATTCGAGACGATGAAGATGTGCGTAGCATGTTCCGCAGTCATGAGTATTTCGGTTTCTCAGATATCATGCTATATGTTACGTTACAACAACAACAGTCTCAACAACTTGATTCTTCTCAAGTTTTTTACGAATCTGATGAGGAACACGCTGAAGTTGATGTCATTGAGCAGTTGAAGTCATTGTTGACGACATGGTAAACAACGAGGAAGAAGGGGTTCCACCCGGTCATGTTTATTGCCTACCTCAACACATGACAACTCTCGACTTAGGTGACGATGAACCCTCAACATATGTTTTTTACAACCCGAACTACGCAACAGAAGGACTATTAAAAGAGGTGACGGGTTTCTTACAAAAGAAGATTGTGTCTGAGCAATTAAACAATACCACATGGACTTATTAGTAGATTATAGAGTCGATCGAACAAATCTGACTCGGTATAAGATCTATTGTCGTAACGAGGTGTGTCTGTTCCGATTAACAACGTCTTTCAGGAAGAGAAATGAGTCATGGAAGATAGGGTCAATGGGTCCAGCCCACACTTGTATAATCATGAATCCGATGCAGGACCATCGTAAGCTCAACTCTCAATTGATTTGTGATGAGATTCTATCAGTCATTAGCGATAACCCATCTTTGAAGGTGAGTACCATAATTTCACATATGGTTCAAAGGTACAATTACACTCCTTCATACCGGAAAGCATGGATAGCTAGAACTAAAGCAGTTGAAAGGGTGTTTGAAAATTGGGAAGAGTCTTACAAGGAACTTCCAAAATTCTTGGTGGCTCTTAAACAATACTCTCCAGGGACTGTTGTCATATTAGAGACAATGCCAGTGTATACACCAGACGGGACTTGCGTTAGTGGAAATAGATTTTTTCACAGACTCTTCTGAGCATTTGAACCATGTATCACATGCTTTGCTTATTGTAAACCTATAATTCAAGTTGATGGCTCATGGTTATACGGGAAATATAATGGCACGCTACTCATGGTTGTGGCACAGGACAGGAACAACAACATTTTTCCAGTAGCCTTCGCTATAGTTGAAGGGGAGGTTGTTGGGGGTTGGAGTTTTTTCTTAAAAAATCTCCGCTTTTACATTTCTCCCCAACCTAACTTATGTTTGATCTCTGATAGATATCCATCAATCGAGAGTGCATACAATAACCTTGATAATGGTTGGCAGGATCCTCCCTCGACCCATGTGTATTGCATAAGACATATCGCCCAAAATTTCTTGCGGGAAATTAAAGACAAAACACTAAGGAAGAAGGTTGTGAACGCAGGATATGCACAAACAGAGCCCACATTCAAACACTATCGTGACGAGATCAGACTGATAAACACGGATGCATTAAGATGGATTTATAATATTGATAAAGAGAAATGGACACGGGCATACGATAATGGGGTGCGATGGGGCCACATGACAACTAACCTCGTTGAATCAATGAATTCTGTTTTCAAGGGAATCTGAAACATACTGATAACTGCCTTGGTAAAGGCAACATATTTTAGGCTAGGCGCACTTTTTGATAACAAACGTACGAAGTGGGGTTCAGTATTACAATCTGGTCAGTTGTACAATAATAGTTCAACAACATTCATGAAAGACGAAGTTGCCAAAGCCAACACACATGTGGTCACAATCTTTGATCGTAATAAAGGTTGGTTCATTGTTGTCGGGTTGAACTGGATATGAGCTGGTGTGATTGTGGAAAGTTTCACAGTCACACCAGCTCCAAATTGATCACAATGAAGGAAGGCCTAGGGGATGTTACCGGGTTGAATTGGATAGGAGCTGGTGTGACTGTGGAAAGTTCCAGGCATTTTGTATGCCTTGCTCTCATGTTATAGTAGCATGTTCGAAGGCGCGCCAAGACCCAACCAACTATCTTTCTACAGTTCACCAAGTGATAAGTCTATGCAATGTCTACACATGTAGCTTTCAAGTGGTGGCAGAGGAGGACTATTGGCCTCAATACAAAGGCAAAATTATGTGGCATAATGATTTGATGCGAAGAAAGAAAAAGGGTCGCCCTAATAACACGCACATTCGAACGGAGATGGATGTAGCAAACAAGATGGTAAGATTATGTAGTTCGTGTCGGCAACTAGGACACAACCGTACAAAATGTCCTAACGTAGAATCAAGCACAAGATCATAGTGTCTAATGTAATCGTGTCCCTTTAAATCAACAGCAAATTTCATTCCATTTAAAGCATACATAACCGACTACAATTATCAAGCAACACAAATTAAACAAACATAACTTAACATCACAATAAACCGACATAAAACAGAATAATGCATCAAGGTGTCTACGATATCACAACCATCAACGCTATCTTCTTTGGTGTTAACATCATCACAAGGACACCAACATTATTTTCCACTTTTCTCCATTCACGAGTAACTCCGTTTCTCCCTGACTCCTCGACCAACCTCTCAACTTTTCTAATCTTTTCACCTGCAGCAATATCTCCTTCTAGCCAGCGGTTCAGTTTTCTATGCAAATGCTCCAACGTCTGCGTGTTCCACAATAGCACCTTCATCGGAGGCTTTGTTGCTGAAAAATAAACTACGGCGTTTCTTTTCATTAGAGGAAATGTTGGAAACGGTTTCTCCGATGATGATGACGACGACGATGAACGTTGATTTAGAAATGCAGACATTTTAGACTGCATTCAAAATTATGAAGACCGAGTCTTTTGGTATAAATTGTTGTGAAAAAATATATGAGTGTGCAGTCGTATTCATAGAAAAATAAAATAGTACGGGCGCCATATGATATGCCTTAAATACCCTTGCAAAATTTATATATATTTTTTCAACAAATACCAAAAATTAACAACGTAGGGTTTAAAAATATCAAAATTCAAAAGTGACCTACAATTATATATTTATTATGTTTTAAAATTATATATTAATTATATATTTAATATGTTTTAAAATTATATATTAATTATATATTTATTATGTTTTAAAATTATATACGAATTATATATTTATTATGTTTTAAAATTTAAACAAATATATCAAATATCAAAAAACTAAAATTATATTTATTCTAAACCAATATATATTTATTATGTTATAAAACTAAAATTATAAACAAAAAAAATTAAAACCTAAAAAAACAAAGAAAAAAAAAAGTAAAAATAAAAACCCTACCGAAGGGAGTCGCCATATGAGATGGTGCATTCTCTGTAGGGTAGATTTTAAAAATACACACACACGTCATATCATATGGCGATTTGATTCAAGTAACTTTGGTTCATCCATTTGATATGGCGCATCAAGGTTGAATCTTGACCACTTTTGTAATTTTTTTGAAATTGTTTTTGTTTGATAATTTATTTAAACAACATGGTTAATTTTAAAAAAAATTTGTTCAGATTCATTCTCATGTTATCACATAAAAATGACATTCTCATATAATATATATATATATATATATATATATATATATATATATATATATATATATATATATATATATATATATATATATATATATATATATATATATATATATATATATATATATATATATATATATATATATATATATATAGAATGTGTAAGTAAGTAAATTATATGAGAATGTGAGAATGAATAAGAACCATGCGATTTAAAAAAAAACATTGAGATTAAAAAATATTTTTAAAATTTGATTAATGAATTTTCTTTTCTTTTAATAACACATAATTTCATAAAAATGACAATTTAATTTCAACATTTCTTTTTTAAAATGATGGCTCTTATTCATTCTCAAATTTTCATATAACTTTTATATATATATATATATATATATATATATATATATATATATATATATATATATATATATATATATATATATATATATATATATATATATATATATATATATATATATATATATATATATATATATATATATATATATATATATATATATATATATATATATATATATATATATATATATATATATATATATATATATATATATATATATATATATATATATATATATATATATATATATATATATATATATATATATATATATATATATATAATGGAATATAAAACAATTTTAGTGTCACTAAATAGTAAATATCCATTAAACTATACTACAAATTAACAAAAAAAAAAATTTTAATTGAAAATGCGTGAATCCAGTAGTAAAATATTCTAAACCAAAATAAAGAAAAAGTAGAGTACAAGTACCAGGAAGACCGCTGCGTCGCGTACCCTGATCGGACTATTCCATTTCTCTCCGGTGTCTGTATCGCCATCCACCATCGTAATCGAATAATGTCGTTGTACGTGCTATCACGTCGTTTATCAAGTAGATCAACATCAACGACGCTACTCTCCTTGCGTTTTACTTCATTCTACTCATCCTCTTCATTCAGGGAAGAACAAGATACCTTTGGACCCATTCAAGTTCCCTCCGACAAGTTCGTAAACCTTTCTCCTTCTTCTTCCATTTCAATCCTAATTTTCATTCATTCATTCATTCATCTAATTTTTTTCATGTTTCGTTAGATTATGGGGAGCACAGACCCAGAGATCTTTGCAGAATTTTGATATAGGCGGTTCCCGTGAACGCATGCCCGAACCAATTGTTCGAGCTTTCGGCATCTTGAAAAAATGCGCCGCAAAGGTTTAATTTCGAATAGACTAGTTTTTGTTTTAGCTGTTTTTCGTTTTTGATTTTGTAAATTGTGTTATTGTATGGATTTAAGAGGTGAATTGGTGGTGTGATGTGATGTAGGTTAACATGGAGTATGGTCTTGATCCTACCATTGGGAAAGCTATCATGCAAGCGGCGCAAGAGGTTGCTGATGGGAAGCTAAATGATCATTTTCCACTTGTTGTTTGGCAAACTGGCAGTGGCACTCAGAGTAACATGAATGCTAATGAGGTTATTTTGAAGCTAAATTCTGCGTTTGATTTATTTATGAATTTTTTATTTTGGCTTATTTGATGATATAAGTACACGTGAAAGTGTTTGGAAGAGCTTATGAAAATGTTTTACGGGTTTGATTTTGTTGGTTGGTTGATTTGAGTTTATCTATTGGAGTGAGAACTATGAGTCGAGTTGGCAGAGCTTATGAAAACAACTTACGACATGTTCATGAGCTGTTTGCAACTTATTTCTACAAGTTTTTTTAGAATAGCTTATGAAAACAACTGTTTGGCTTTATTTGATCTTTTGTTATAGAAGTTTATACATAAGCATTTGTATAATAATGGCTGCTATAAGTGTTTAATTCAGTTGTCGATCCAAACAGGGTCTATATCATGTTTGTATGTTGTTTTTGCTCATTTTAATAAGCCCTCTAGGATAGCTTGTGAAAACAGTGTGTAACTTATATGATTATAAAAAATTTATAGATATGCACTTAGTATATGATAAGTGTTTCTTTTATGATTGTTTACTTAAACTATTTATCCAAATGTACTCTCGATCCTGAAGGTTCTTTTATGCAAAATGCCTCATGCTTAAGGATCTTAGATTTGTAGACTTTTTAGATAATTGTGTCTAAGACTTGAGAATCTATTTAGTTTTTCCCAGTTTCTGTTTTGTTTGGACAGTGAGGGTTATTTGACTTACATAACCCTTCCATCCATCTGATCACTCATTGACCTATTATGAAATAAGAAAGTTTGTGTTTGAACTGTTTTTCAGGTTATCGCAAACAGAGCATCAGAGATTCTGGGCCATAAGCGCGGTGAGAAGTTTGTGCACCCAAATGACCATGTCAATAGATCTCAATCTTCTAATGATACATTTCCAACGGTAAGTCTTTTGTATATCTTTAGCAATTTCTTCTACAGAAATTTCTTATTAATTGCTCTCTGTGTTGTGCAATTCATTGCAACTGTTTGATATTTCTTTATTATGTGTTTGTTTCCCTCTTTCCAGGTGATGCACATTGCTGCTGGACTGGAATTAAACTCAAGACTAATCCCCAGCTTGAAAACATTACATTCTACACTTAACGCAAAGGTTTGAATCCTAGTTCATATCTTAAGACACGTTAAAATGCATATAGAAAACTGAACCAAACCCTCTCCCCCATCATCTTACATTGCCTGTGATCCTACGTAAGTACGTATGGCAGTTACAATTTAGCAATTTTTTTTTGTGTGGCTGCATGTGGGTATAAGACTTTTGACACAGCAATGGGGGGACTCTATGAATGTCTATTGATGATTGTGTAAGTGGAAGGGCTCTATGAATGTCTAATTTCTATAGGTGATCAAGACAGTGGAGGAACTCTATGAAAGTCTAATGTTAAATTATTTCTGTAGTTTGTTGAATTATTTCTGTTCCGCATCTAACCGAACAATTTCAAACTAAGAAAACTGGATTTAAATGTTCCATTTTAGTTAGGTATATTTATGTTTTACTTAATAGTTCAACACAGTTCACCCCTGCTATTGTTATATTAAGTGCCATCTTGGTTAGACCGGAACTTTAGTAGTTTACATTAAACCCGACGCACTTCATTCATAGTACCACAAAAATCTTAATATAAATGTGAAAATCATGGCACGTTAACATGTTGTTCACCATACCTGTTTTTGTTATGGTTCTGACCATTTTACGGATCCAATGTGATATTGTCCATACTGGTCTCCCTTGATTGAATCCTTGCATAATAAAAAAATGATATTCTGTTACTTTTTGTTTTCATCTATCATGTTTGCAGTTTTTATTTCCAAATAATATATTGTGACAGGAAACATCTTATTGACCTTTTAACTTTCATAAAATCTTTCCATCTCTCAGCCTCTAAGATGGAACTTTATAAATGGAGACACTTGTGTTGTAATTGGTTTATTTTTAATGCCAATTATCACTGTTTGCTATATCAGTATTTATTAACTTTCTGCTTTTGTTTTTAAAAAAACCATTTTACCAGTCAATTGAATTCAAAGATATTGTTAAGATTGGACGCACTCATACTCAAGATGCTACACCTTTGACTCTTGGGCAGGAGTTTAGTGGGTATACTACACAAGTAAGCTTGCTTTCATTTGGTTATGTCAATGTGTATTTTGTTTTAACATTAGTATGCTTTGTAAGTTCATGAGAATTTGTAGGGAGTTGTTTCTGATAACGTTTTCATACATTGACAGGTGAAGTATAGTATTGATCGTGTGATTAGCAGTTTGCCGCGCATGTATCAGGTTTGATACTCAAACACAGACATTAAATGCTTGTTCTTCACATCTATGCTTCCTGAGTTCTGACTGAGTAGTTGTTACTTGAGCAGCTCGCCCAGGGTGGTACAGCTGTAGGAACTGGATTGAATACAAAGAAGGGGTATTCATGCTTTCTGATGGCTAAGCTCTTGTTCTTATATTTCCTTTTTGTAACATCCTTTAGTCTATTGTTTTATTTTTGTATATTCCTATTTGACAGCTACAAAATGAATGTTATAGCTTCTTTTTTTTCATTCCTTTTGGCATATTCTATTTGAACTGAGCTTTTTGTCGGACACTTGTTTCTTACTATCATCAAATACCTAAAAGTAATGGACTTTACCTGACCAGATATGCATGTGCATTTTCCATGATTGGATTTAAATTATTATGGATGTGATTGTTAAAAATTAGATTAAATTTTATCTGAAGATCTTAAGGATATGCTACGAGTTTATTTTATCACGAAAATAGAGGCACTAGGTCGGCTGGTTTAAGCTGAAGAGAACATTTGTGGTTTAACTAAAAGAAATACATTTGGTTAAACAATGATAATTTGCTGGATGATATTCAGGTTTGATGTTAAGATAGCATCTGCAGTAGCTGAGGAAACACATCTGCCATTTGTAACAGCAGAAAATAAGTTTGAGGCCTTGGTAAGTTGCTAAAACTTTTTGTTTTCCTTGTCTTTAATTTGTCTCATGCTATTTTTTATCGCACTAGCTTTTTTCACAAATCTTGGTGTCTAGCATCACATGCAGAAAAACATTGGCTTGCAGTGTGCTCATATTCTCCTTTTGCAGGCTGCCCATGATGCTTTTGTTGAAACTAGTGGAGCCCTTAACACAGTTGCAGCTTCCTTAATGAAGATTGCTAATGATATACGGTTATTAGGAAGGTAGAATGCTAAAAATCTGACTGACAAATTGCTTTTATATGACTGTGTCCGCGTTTTTGTGTAGAAATCTGTTCTTTCATGGGTCTTATTAATTTTATTATATCGTAGTGGTCCCCGTTGTGGCCTTGGTGAACTCATTCTTCCTGAAAACGAACCAGGAAGCAGTATTATGCCTGTAAGATCCTCATGCTTACTGAATATACATTTGTCACAAAACACTTTTTTTATTGTTACTGCCTATAGCATATTATTTTGCTAGCCTTGGAATTGAGATTTGATTCTCTGCCACAACCTTATTCTGTTTCAGGGGAAGGTTAACCCTACCCAGTGTGAGGCTTTGACTATGGTCTGTGCACAGGTAGTCATCAATTCACTCTTAATTTCATTAAAATACTTGTGTTGTGAGTTTTGACTTGTGGAGTACTGATTAGCCAACAGTTTATATGACTTGTAGTAAAGTCACACAATTTTAATTATACAGTGACTAATAGGGTCCATAATGCAGAAAAAGACGGGTTGTGACACAGAGTATTGACAGTTTACAGTTACACTAAGAAAAACTGAAAGAAACCTGACAAGTTAGCAGGCTCGTGTGAGAGAGCCAGTTATGTTAGTTAGGTGGTTGAAGTTTGCTAGAGGAGAGAGTGTGTAGCTAGTAAATATCGGGAGGGAAGTGCTAAGCTGAAGAGGGGGTGAAGAGTTTTTAGCATAAGGCTGGATATGCAGGGGGGAATAGTCTCATTGTTGGAGCTTTGATATCTGGAAATCACTGTTGAAGTTCCTTGAGTATTGATTATTGAATAATCATTATTGGTGCTTTTTTTATTATAAATTTCTGAATAGATATTATGATCCATGTGTTTCAGGTCATGGGAAACCATGTTGCAATCACAGTGGGTGGGTCAAATGGTCATTTTGAGCTCAATGTATACAAGCCAGTGATTGCCAGTTGTCTCTTGCATGTATGTTTCATATCCTTTGTCTTGTTATATTATTTCTAGTTTATAAATCACCGAATCAAGGAACATCTGGGTAGCTTTTAATTTGGTTCAAATATGTTACCTGATTCTAGGTTGGTAAAAAGCTTAGTATATATCTTTTGGTATAATATTTTCTTAAAGAAGTTGAATCTTTTTCTATTTAGAAATACTCTAACTTTTTGAACTGGTCTAAAGCTTGGTGCATAGAAAGAAAAACTGTTGATGCTGCACCAAGCTTAGAGCATTGAAGCATAGGTTTAATTCTATAATTCTTATCAGGCAGTTTGGCAACATATATTTTTCAGATGCAAGTCAGATGTACTTGGTTAGAATGTTAACGAACTGTTTGCTATGATGGTAAAGTATAAAATGAGAAGGAACGATACTTTTGATGTGCTGTGTTTGTTTAAGCTGCTTATGTGTCTTTGTGATGACACAGTAACATTATGATATGGTAATGCCCCAAAATAGAAGATAAATCTGGGGTGTATGAACGAAAGGGCACCTGTTGGCTTTTGTTTTGATTCCAAATTTATGCAATATGGAATACCTTAAGGATGTTCTTAAATACTCACTATTTATTTTGATTCTGCAGTCAGTGAGACTGCTTGGAGATTCATCTGCTTCCTTTGAAAAGAATTGTGTAAGAGGTATTGAAGCTAATAGAGAAAGAATTTCAAAGTTACTGCATGAGGTGAGTTAACAACTTATTTGAATTCTGAAACAAATTTTCTCTATCAAAACTCTAAACTCTTACCTAATGTATGTTGTTGTTTCACTTTTCATTCACCTTTCAGTCACTAATGTTGGTCACATCCTTGAACCCGGTAAGTTTCCTCCTGCCTTATCCTGTCACTTACTAAATTTTCCCATGTGTTTGGAACTGAATTTAATTTGTCTGTTCCAGAAAATTGGTTATGACAAGGCAGCTGCAGTTGCTAAGACAGCTCACAAAGAGGGGACTACACTTAAGGTGACGATGCTTTGTTATTCTTATTTTTCTCTTACGTTGATTGGAGTGTCCTTCACCGTAGTATTGTTTGTATTGATGAATTTATTCCTATTAAATGATTTCTCAATGCTATTCTAACAAATTTTCTGAAATGTTGAAATGGAAAATGATTGTTTAGGAAGCTGCATTGAAGCTTGGAGTACTGAGCTCTGAAGATTTCGACAAACTTGTGGTGCCTGAAAAAATGATTGGCCCAACTGATTAATTAGCCTATGATGTTTTGTTTTAATAATTATTACTTGGCTCCTCGTCAGCTACATTGGGTAAATATTTTTGAAGCAAAACCATTGAATAAAATGGGAAATGGTAATCCAAATAACCAATGATTTTGACTTTCTTAGTTGACATTCTTGAGGAAAGAGATCCTCCAAATTTGTAACGAGGCAACAAATAAAGGAAAAATTTTGTTTACTGTCTTTGAACTATATTTTTCATTTGTTTTTCTATTATCGGAATTGAAATATTTGAGTTGTTTGTGTGGTAAGAGTGAAATCCGAGACAAAAAAGGATGTAATTAAGAACAGAGAAGTCAATTTCTATAGTTCGAGTATGCCGTGTTAGAACTTAGAACTAATGCACATAATTTTGTTTGACTACAAACTTAAAGAAATTTCGTTTCCCACCACTGAAAATTCAAAATTAAGTATATTTGAAGATACATCATTCATAAATTAAACAACTATTTTATTTTTATCAAAGTTGGTTTAGAGATGCTTATTTGGATACTCTTGATATTAAATTAAAAAAAAAAATACAACATGGCAGGATAAAGTTTGTAAGATCTAAAGTGATCTAAAACTTTATAAATAGGATATCTCTCTTCATATGTTTTCTACAAAATTCACAACAATTTGTGAATACTCTCTTGTGATATCTAGAAGAAAAAAAAGTTGTCAAATTCAAGTATTGTTCATCCTTGTTTGACAGTCAAGGAAAAATAAAGTTCACCAACTTTGAATTAAAAATAGATGAAGATTGTATGTTTCGCTGATATGCATCAAATGACTCAATTGAAGTGAATGTGAAGATTGCATGACTCAATTGAAGTGAATGTGAAGATTGCATGACTCAATTGAAGTGAATGTGAAGATTGCAACAAATGACTCAATTGAAGTGGATGTGAAGATTGCATGACTCGGCAAATATATTATCAATATGTTACAATTGAAGTGAATGTAAAGATTGCAACAAATGACTCAATTGAAGTGGATGTGAAGATTGCATGACTCGTCAAATATATTATCAATATGTTACAATATTCTCAACTATCCGTTTATAATAATATTAAATTTATGTTAACAACTATCTATGTATTGTATGTATTGTTGAGTGTTTTAGTTTAATGTCAAGTTGTTGTGGTTTCTAAATCTTATTCATATTATCTATGTTATCAATGTCATTTTCAGATATGATCTCCGAAACATATCAAATACACATTCAAAAATACAACTCAACTAAAATTAAATATAATAAGAGTAACTCACTCATTTACATTTAATTTTGTAAAAAATAGAGATGCATCTTCAAACTCTAAATATTTTGAAATTTTCAAGAATTTGAGAGAAAGTAGAGGTTAAAAAAACATTCCCAAAAGTAAATGAAAATAATGTTGCATTAAAACAATAAAACGTCGTAATTGTTTTATTTCCCTCTAAAAGGACAACAAAATTTGTTTGTAAATTTTAGTTCAACTGTGAAAAGTCAATGATGTTAGCATCAAGATTATCTCACGGTTGTGTTTGATTTTTTAATAGTTACTATCATTTTGTGGACATGTAAAAAAGATGAATATCATATAAGAAAATGACAGAATGTCATATATGTGTATGTGTTCAATATTACATTTCTTAGAAAGCAGGGATGAGGGTTGATGAAACAACCAGAGGCCCTGTGTGAAGCTCTAATAGTTGTTAAATCAATGCCCAGTGCGTGACTCAACACTTACAACCTATAGTGTTAAACCCTATATTGATCGAGTCTATAGTCAAGGACCATGTGTGAAATGTGACAAGCAAAAATGTATGAAATGTGACAAGCAAAAATGACCAGGAATTGAGGCAAGGAACTTTATAACTAATAATAAAATAACAATTGTATTTCTCAACCAAATGAACCATATCCATACCAAAATTGGCAAAACAAAATACCAAATACAAAATTGTTACTTGTACAACTGAAAAATCAGATAAAATTAAAGCTCAAATGAAATACTTGATCTACTTCTTGGATTTCTTTGATGGTCTGCACAGAAAACATGCAGTTAGACAACATAGCAAAAATTTGAATCAAAAACAGTGTGTGCTAAGATACTTACTGGGCAGGCTGGGTTGCTGTTGCAGCTGGTGCCACTGGTGCTGCAGGTGCCTTCTCTCCGGGACCCTACACATTTTAGAGGGGAAAGTGAAATGGTTAAATTCCTTAATAAAAGCTCAATAAAAGTTAAGTGACAATACTGTAAACAGGTAAATGTTGAGCGACAATGGTTAAATTCCTCAATAAAAGTTGAGTGTGGTAAACAGCTAAGGAACTCACTTGAGCAAAGCGCTCTTCTCTTCTGGCATGTTTCCTTTCCCTGCTTGCCTTGTTCTTAGCCCTCTTGGCCTCAAACTGATCAGACAGTGTCTTCTCTCTTGCCTTCTCGGCCTTGGACTTGTGAATACTCTCCATGAGGACTCTCTTGTTCTTGAAGACATTACCCTTCACCTTCATGTACATATCATGGTACATGTGCTTGTCAATTTTCTTTGCTTCTCGGTACTTGCGCAGTAAACGCCTGAGGACACGCATCCTCCTCATCCATAGAATCTTGGTGGGGAGCCTTGCCTCTCTTGTACCCTTTCGCTTACCTATTCATCATTCAGAAAAATTTATAAATTATAATCACATAATGAAGATTAAGCCTTCCCTGTTAGGGAAAGCACAATAGAATATATCATACAATATCCAAGAAACAATATTGAGTTCAATTATACCATATCCAGAATGACGACCCTTCCTCTTGGCTTCCTTCATGCGCCTAGCACGGGAACGGGAGTGGATCTTAGTTGGCTTCCTGATAATAAAGCCATCCTTAACCAACTTTCTGATGTTTTGGCCTGCGGTGGAATTTGTTAATTATATAAGTATAAAAATTGAACCAAAACATGCAATGATAGGCTCTCACCACATATGAATTAGGGTAGTTTCTAATAAAAATTGAACAAAACAAACACCCAGATAGTTCTAAAGAATCAAATCTCAATTGCATTTAGAGGTAGTTTTAACTGATAAAGAAAATGAAACCAAGGATAAATTGGGGATTATTATATAACTTAAATATCAAATTAGCATATTTCTCCATTGAAAAGAGAGCTGAGTTGAGCATCCAGCTAAATTATCTATCTATACTCTACTAAAAATAATCTCATGAAAATATAAATATTTAATTTAACTGTTTAAAACAAAAGAATGAATTCTAAAATCTAAATCAAATGTTTTTCTCATTTCAAAAAGAATCTGAATGTTTGTTGAGATTTCCTCTTTCCTAGTTACCACAATAACACAATAACAGCTCAAAAACAACTTGTAAAATAATCATTGTAAAATTATCATGTAACAGAAGAAGAAAGAGATAAAGTGCAGTGGGTTACGTGAATTGGCCATGGAGATTTCATTTCCCTCATTAGGGTCAAGCCAAACCTTCCCTCTGCCACACTTGAGGACGCTAGCGGCGAGCCGCTTCTGAAGCTTCAGGGACACCATTGTTACCCTCACTCACTCTCTGGTTTGCTACGCTGCCGGCGGAAAGAGGCTATATATGTTCCTCAGTAACCCTAGTTCTTGTACCAATTTTTGTGTGCAGGGCAAGTAAATTACATTTTTTGCTGGGCTTTTCTTCATTTAACCCATGGGCTTTCTTAGTGAACTGTTTTTTGTCAAATAAACTAGGAGGTTCTTCTGCCAACTCATTTTTGACCTGGCACCCTCACAAAGGGGCTGAGAAGATTACATTTTAGCCTTTATAAAATTTTCTCTGTTTTTATGAATACTGGATTTTTGAAGAGATATTGGATTTTTTTTTTTTTAAAGTTTTGATCATTTGGAAGAAGAGTTTTTGGATTTTTTAAGTGTATCAGATATTTTCAAGTATGAATATTTTATAAATTGCCGATAAAAAAAGATTTCTAAAAAAATAATGAAGAAATATTAAACATTTAAAATATATAAAACAAAATTATCGGATATTTAAAAAGAATCGACAACATATAATATCTATTGAATTTTTTAAAATGTTTGACACACACCAAAAATTCTGATATACCGGATTTTAAAAAAATCAATACAACAAAATTTGTTGAATTTTTGAAAAACTCTGAGCGGAAGAATCTTATAAATTTCAGATTTTTCTTTTAAAAAATAAAATCTTTAAAAAAATATGGGGATTTTTACTAAAAATTTGAAAATAATTTGAAAATGTCCCAATTATAAAAAATAAGTAAAACTACAAGAGATTTTAAATCTTTATAAAAAAAATTCAATAATAATTCAAGAGATTTTTGAATTTTTTTGCCAAAAATCCAATTAAATCTCGTACCAAGTTTTTAAATGTTCTATAAAAAAACCTAAAAACATTGTCTTACAAAAGTTTATATACCAGATTTTTAGTCTCTTATAATTTTTACAAAAAGATAATCTTTTATAAAATATAAAAATGTGGAGTGTGATGTCAAAAATGAGGGGTGGCAGGAAGTTCATAATTCATGCCTCTTTATTTTTATTTTTTGTCAAATGGTTGGAATCCATAAACAGATGAGATTTTGGGAATTCAAAACTTTTGACTTTGCATTTGATAACAACTACTAACAAATAAGCTGACGACACTTTTTATTTAACGTTTCCCTTGATATTTATAATCAACCTATCTTTTTAAATATTGTTTAACAATATTGTTACCTTTCATACTATTAGCATTATATGAATTTTGTTCTGCACGAGATTTTTATAGGTATTATTGTTATTGTCTAAATGTTTGCAAAATATGAAATAAATGATTTTTTTATAATCAAATGATATATTTTATTGATTAAAGGTACATAATATGGGTTTAAATAACATAGTTAAAGTTATCATGTTAGTTTAATTTAGTTGCTAGTTGTAAAATTGTCATGTTAGTTTAAATAATATTTTATTTTATTCTTAACATAATTGAATGAATTAAATCATTAT